ATTATTATAGTAAGTACTAAAACGACTAGAACAGAAACTAATAAAAAATAAATAAATAAAAACAAACTAAGAAAGCATAACAAAAAACACAAGTTACTAAAACAAAAATAACAAAATTAGTAAACATGTAAACTTATATTAAAATAAAAACAGAAACTGTAACAATAAAAGCCAGTTCATAATAATTCATAAATATTATAATAGCATAAACATAATACTGAAATAGTCTCATTAAAATAACAGCTGACGAATTTGTCTGTTTATTTATTTTCTAAAGAATTTTAGGAGAAGCATTTGCGACAAAGTAAATACTCAATCGAAACTCAGTTGTCATAAGCATGCATATTTTGCCCAGTTTATTAAGAAAATAAATATTAAATATATTGTTTAAACATTTTGGATCTTTCCATTTGCAGTGTCACTTTAATGAATCATTTTTCGAGTCAAGAGCTTCCAGGCAACAAAGATATATATAAAAAAAAATGATAATCTTCATAAAAAAGGCAACAAAAGGTTTTCACAAGAGACACAATCGGTGTAAATAAATGGTGGACAAAATAATCTTGTTCTCCTCCAGGTGAAATTACTGAATTATTTTTAATTATTTAAACATAATTGTAATGATTCATTATTTTAAATTAATTGTTTTAAAAATATTTAAAATATGAATGTAATTAAATTAATAATTTATCAATGTATTATTATTTAATAACTTATTTAATTATGTTAAATAATAATATTAAAATTATAAAATATAAAACATACAAATATAAAAATTATTATTATTATTATTATTATTTAAAAAAATGTTTTCACAATTTTCTCATTATGAGAATAGTTTTCTCTGAATTATTATTATTATCAAGTTGTTGTCATTTGTTCTTTGGCTTGTTGTGCTGCAGGTTTGGGTCGGGTGTGTTCACCTGCAGGGGTTCAGGAGTTTGGAGGGATGGACGTCAATGTAAGGAGACAGCGGTTTATCCACGAACGAGCCGAAGCCCACTCTGAAGTCGCTGGAGTGCTCCTTCATCAGATGAGACAGAGCCAGACCCGCCGTCTTCAGCCGGTCCAGATTATCCTGCATGGAGGCCGAGACGTCCACTAGATAGTACAGATCCACAGGATAGCGCTCCAACTGCTGCACCTCCACCACGAACGACGCCTCGCCGCCTGACACAGGAAGTGACATCATCACAATGCTACATTTACTATTTTACATTTCATGAGAAAGTTACTGCCGGTTGCCATGGCGCTGCTATGGTGTTCTGCATTTAAGCTGACATGTTGTTATTTACTTTCTAAGGTGCTTTGGGTTGCGTTGCTAGGGTGTTCTTGGCGGTTACCATAGCGTTGCTAAGGTGTTCTGCATTTATGTTGACACATTGTTATGTGGTTTCTAAGGTGTTTTGGGTTGCTAAGGCATTGCTAGGGTGTTCTAGGTGGTTGCCATGGCATTTCTATGTGGTTGCTAAGGTGTTCTGCATTTAGGTTAGTACTTTCTGTGGTTTCTAAAGTGTTGGGTTGTTGTTTCTAAGGTGTTTTGGGTTGCTAAGGCGTTATTGGTGGTTAGCAAGGTGTTGCTGAGGTGTTCTGCATTTATGTTGGCATGTTGTTATGTGGTTTTTAAGATGAATTGGGTTGCAGTGCTGATAGGGTTTTTTGGGTGGTTGCCATGGAATTTCTATGAGGTTGCTAAGGTGTTCTGCATTTATGTTAGCACTTTGTTATGTGGTTTCTACAGTGTTGGGCTGTTGTTTCTAATGTGTTTTGGGTTGCTAAGGCTTTGCTAGGGTGTTCTTGGTGGTTGCCATGGAATTTCTATGAGGTTGCTAATGTGTTCTGCATATATGTTAGCACTTTATGTGGTTTCTAAAGTGCTCGGTTGTTGTTTCTAAGGCGTTTTGGGTTGCTAAGGCGTTGCTAGGGTGTTCTTGGTGGTTGCCATGGAATTTCTATGAGGTTGCTAAGGTGTTCTGCATATATGTTAGCACTTTATGTGGTTTATAAAGTGCTGGGTTGTTGTTTCTAAGGCGTTTTGGGTTGCTAAGGCATTGCTAGGGTGTTATTGGGGGTTACCAAGGTGATGCTGAGGTGTTCTGCATTTATGTTGGCATGTTGTTATGTGGTTTCTAAGATGAATTGGGTTGCTACATTGTTGATAGGGTGTTCTGGGTGGTTGCCATGGAATTTCTATGAGGTTGCTAAGGTGTTCTGCATTTATGTTAGCACTTTGTTTTGTGGTTTCTAAAGTGCTGGGTTGTCGTTTCTAATGTGTTTTGGGTTGCTAAGGCGTTGCTATAGCAATAGCACCCTATAGGGTATTCTGGGTGGTTGCCATGGGATTGCTATGAGGTTGCTAAGGTGTTCTGCATTGATGTTGGAACATTGTTATTAGGCTTCTAAGTGTTTTGGGTTGTTGTTTCTAAGGTGTTATAGGTTGCTAAGGTGTTGCTAGGGTGCACCTGGCCTTTAATGGTCAGACGTTACCTGGTCGTAGGTGGATGTTAATCTCTCTCGGTGACACCTGTGAGCTGCCGATAGTGGCATTTACTTCCACTTTCACATTCGGGTTCTGGATAAAAGCCTCTTCACAGCCCCGGACTCGCAGGTCAGACACATATCCGCATCGCTGACTTACATGAGCCCCGTCCAGAAACCTCTGTCAGAGTAAACAAACCGTCAGACATGTCAAGGGTCACTGCTAATGCCTGTTTCTTCAAGAAACAAGGCGACTGTTGTGTAGGGTGGCATTATTGAAAGCTCTTTAGCTCAGAGATGGTTGCTGAGATGTCGGTCAGGGATTAGTCTGACTGGTGCCGAGCACCGCAGCCACTTCATGAACTTAACCACAATCCCGGGAATATGCATGACTTTCTGTACAAAGAAAGCATTTAAATCAATTGTTCGCCCCAAGAAAATAAACACGTCAGTGATGGATAAAGTTAAAACTCTATAAACTGACTGACTAAGGCCTGACCAAACCACGACCGGACTTTAAAGGACAAGTGTTTACGTATTTGATTTACTCATTTTTGGAAGGACTAACTTTTGATTAATAATGTGAAAAAATATTATTACTATTATTATTATTATTATTATTATAGTATTTATTCATATTTATAATTGGCTTTTAACTTTTAATTTGATCTTTTCAGTTTTCATTTTAATTTTAAGTTTCATTAATTATGTTAAATATATATTTTAAGCTTTCATTTATTTTATTTAATATATAATGATATAATTTTGTACTTCTTGACTAAACCACAACCGTACTTTAATGAACAAGCACTACAGTATTTGATTTACTCATCTTTGGAAGGACTGCCTTTTAATTTATAACGTGAAAAAAATGTCAAACTCAAAGGAATACGTTTAATATAATCACTCAAATATTTCTTAAATACTTTTCCTGGTTAAACCAGTGTCATTTTAGTATTATTTAAATACTATTATGTTATTTATGAATAATTTTGAAATATTTCTATATTTTAAGGTTTAATCATTTTGTTATGTACTTTTATCATTTTTTATTTTTTTTACACTTCTAATTAGCTTTAATATTTTCATTTTGGTTTTGGTAATGTTTTTTAATATTTCTGTTTTGCTTTGATTTGTTTTAGATACATTTTAGTTGTATCATCTATACATTTTAGCATTCATTCATATTTTGAATTAGCTTTTGTTTCCATATTTTAAGTTTTAGTAATTTTATGTGCTTTCAGTATTTTTTTTTTTTACATTTTTGCTACACTTCTAATTAGCTTTAATATATTTTATTTGAGTAATTTCAGTACTTAAACTTATTTCAGTTAGTTGCCAAGGCAACTTTTCTCATTTTTTATTTTCTGTCCAATATTTGTATTTTTTTTTCCCAGCTTTATTTCAATTCTTTATTGTTTTAGCTTACAGTAACAACAATGGGTTAAACCAAGTTGTAACTGCTCAGAATTTGTTCTTCATTTATTCAAGAATCGGCTTGTCTCAGATGTTTGAGAAATTAGTCAGTAATAGTTGAACCTCATTGGTATCTCAGAAACAACTGAGATATTACAGAGACTTCATGTGCAATTTGTCTTCACTACACTCACTACACTAACAAGGTACAAAACTGTACTTACATGTACACTACTAAGTGACTAATATGTACTTTCAGAGTACTAGTATTAGGGGTAAATAGGGCACAAAGATGTTTCTGCATTTCTGTTTTATGGGTTCCCACGATCACCGGTGCATTCTGGGGATTAGGGCTTTATCACTAACAGACCAAACATGAGCACTTCACACACTCAGACCTCGAGTAGTGTGCCGAGATACAACAATAGCAGCTGAGCTCGCTCACACACACACACACACACACACATTACCTCCTGAGAGCACCACGCACATTCAGGGCCGCGTCTCAGACAGTCTTCACATGTGGAGATGAGGGACGACAAGCATCGGTTATCCGCTGAACACAGAGACAGAGACATTTACACATGAATGAGCGAGCGTTCAGATCCTCAGCGGGCCTTTGTGTCCAGCACAGACCCTGTCAGGACAGAACAGCGCTCTGTTTGGAAAGAAACGGTCTCAGAAAGATGAACAAATCACGGCACTGAATGTCAACGTCAATTAGATTATTAATTGCGAGAAGCGTAAAAATAAACATTTAGATAAAACTGTAGATGTTAATGTGCACAACCAACCAAGCTATATAAACATTTATACCCTGCTGAAAAAAAAGAAAGAAGCTAAAACCAGCCTAAGATTGTTGGCTGGATTTAGCTGGTTTTCCAGCCCAGTCTGGTTCCAGCTGGTTTTTGAGGGTTTTTTACCACTTCTTTAGCTGGTCAGTCTGGGAAACCAGCTGACAAACCAACTAAAATCAGTCGAACACCAGCTTAGGGTTTTTTTTTTTTTAAGCAGGGAGATCCTGTCGTACCACTATACAGTATGGGGCACGTTGTCACAGTGGGAACCTGCCGGTTACTGACAGTGATTTAAGTAAAACACCTGTGTTTCAAATCTACTGAATATTAGCTAAATAAAAAGTGACATCATCCACAACATATATGCATTTAAAATGTATTATAGCCTATTAAATGCCATTGTTTTGATTAAGACAAACTTATAAATAAACTTAATATTTCTGAAAAAATTACTGTTTTTTTGGCTGGTTTTTGCTGGTCTGGTTCCAGTTGGTTTAGGAATGTGGCTTTAGAGGGGGGTTGACTACTTCTTTAGCTGGTCAGTCTGGTCTTAGTTGGGAAGCCAGCTAATCAACCAGCTCCTCTTGTGCCACTATACAGTATGGGGCAAGTTGTCACAATAGGAACCTGTGGGTTACTGACACTGACAATACAAATCCTGTTTGAATTCTACTAAATACTATCTAACACAAAAATAATGGCATCAACATATGTGACCCTGGAGCACGAAACCAGTCTTAAGTCGCTGGGGTATATTTGTAGCAATAGCCAAAAATACATTGTATAGGTCAAAATTATCGATTTTTCCTTTATGCCAGAAATCATTAGGATATTAAGATCATGTTCCATGAAGATATTTTGAACATTTCCTACCATAAATATATAAAAACTTAACTTTTGATTAGTAATATGCATTGCTAAAAAAATCATTTGGACAACTTTAAAGGCGATTTTCTCAATATTTTGATTTTTTTTGCACCCTCAGATTCCAGATTTTCAAATAGTTGTATCTCAGCCAAATATTGTCCGATCCTAACAAACCATACATCAATGGAAAGCGTATTTATTCAGTTTTCAGATGATGTATAAATCTCAATTTCTGTACCCTTATGACTGGTTTTGTGGTCCAGGATCGCATAGGCTATATGTATTTAAAATGTACTATAGACTATTAAATGCTTTTCAGGAACTGGTAAATCAACCTAAATGGGAAAAGTGAAAACAATATCAAAGCGATGAGAGGGAGCTGTTAAATAAACTAGACATATGAAAAAAAATACTGTTTTTTTGTAAGTTAAACCATACCTTCTGACTCCTACTCTAATGTATAGCCTACTATTGTGGTTTGAAGTGTTCACTTGTCACCAAACAAGCTATCCAGTATGATGCAATGATATGATATGTGATATGTGGATATGATATGATATATGTGGAAAACGACATAACAGAGTTTCGACTCAGAACCTTGTTTTATTAAGCTATAAACCGCGTGACACAACTTGCCCCGTGTGTAAACACTGACTGACATTTCCATTCATTCCCACGAGTTCGCGATGTCACGATGCGTCCGGCTACAGCATGACAAGATACAAACAATGAAACGCACAGTGAAAGGGATACAATCGACAGCCAAACTCACCCGAATCGGACCTCACAAACACGAACAGCACCGAGATGAGCAGCAGCAGCAGCAGCATGCGAAGAGCAATCAAATCACAGTACAGACGCATGCAGGAAGTCATAGCAGAATAGAGAGAGAGTGTGTGTGTGTGTGTGTGTTTCCAGCGTTCGAACCGCGACTGAAAATCCCCCGGGAACGCGTCAGACCCTCATCCGCACGAACAAAGGAGGGCGATTCGCTTCACCCAACAACCTCCTAATCCTAATTTCCAGATTCAGATGAAGCGCGGCGGAACCGCAGTGTGCGCGTTTTGTTGTCATTGCGCGCTTTTACGCATCGGACACGCAGGTGACGCGCCGCGTTTGGCATCCGCGATCTTCTCGTACCGTCGCGCAAAGGTCACCATCCGCGCGTCATTCCTTAAAGGTGCTCGGCGACGTAAGAAACTGCATTCATTGTTGTTCATTGCAGTGATTTTGAAAGTGGAGCTGATGAACGCCCACCTCTTGTGTGAACTGAGTCAGGCAGCGTTATGGTACTGTACAGAGGAGGAGCAGGAATTTTACTGTTCCCCCCGCTTTCCCCCTTTTGAGAATGAGAAGTTGTTGAGGAAAACTCTGGCAGGGCTTGTATTGAACGTCTCTGCGTCAGCGTGGAATTTAAACAACGACGAGTACATGGCTTTCTGACTTTTCCCCTAGTGTTTCTGAGTTTATATCTCACAATTACGCCTTTTTTTCTCACAGTTACGAGAATTGCGACGTATAAACTTGCAATTACGAGAAAAAGACAGAATTGTGAGATAAAAGCTAGCAGTTAATTCACCTCAGTCAAGGAAGGTAGCGCCATATTTAATTTCTTTAAAAAAAAAAACTTTATTTATTTTTTAAAGATTTGTTTTTGAAGAAAGTGTAACGACAGGAAGTGCCAGAGGGAATGGGATCAGGAAAGGTTCACTTGTCGGGATTCGAACTCGGGACGCACTGTAAAAAATAAATAGTTGAGAAAATTTTAAAAAAGTAGGCTACTTGATGCAGTAAGACTTTTGAGTTCTCTCAACATTCGTTTTTTAGTTCTTCTCAGTAAGGATACTTTGTTTAGCCAAAGTACATTTGTTCATGCAATGCTGATTGTCTTATTTAGCTAATAGAAAAATTCTTGTCACAGCAACTGAAACAACAATTACTGTCCTTGAGGTAATTTATCCTTTTCTGTTTCCTAAGAGAAAGAAAGAATGTGTATAAAGTCACCACATTATCGAATTTATGTTTGTTTACAAATGACAAACCTTAAAGGGATAGTTCACCCAAGAATGAAAATTTGATGTTTGTCTGCTTACCCCCAGGGCATCCAAGATGTAGGTGACTTTGTTTCTTCAGTAGAACACATATGATGATTTTTAACTCCAACCGTTGCAGTCTATCAGTCGTATAATGCATGGCAATGGAAACAAATAATTTTGGAATGACATACAGGTAAACGATGACAGAATTTTTCATTAGTGTACTATAGCTTTAAGTCTCTCCAAAACCACCTAGCATTGCATTAGATGCAATACGTTTCCAATTACATGTGTCAGTAAGAATGCAGTTAAAGGTATTCATGTATTCATTTAACAAAACAGATCAGACTTCATTTTGAGACATTTATTGAGCCCAGGCACAACTGTTTATTTCACTTCTACACAACAGACTGAAAAACCGGGACAACAAATAACAGCCCATCTCTCCAGGCCAAAATGAATGTTTCACCATGGGTGGAGGAGAAGGACAATGGTGTCTCCTATTCTCCAGATAACAGCTCAGTGGAAGCAGATTAGGGGAGCGGGTCCTGGCGGAGGGACGTCGAGGCTGTCACAGAGACGAACTGAGAGGAACAGAGGAGCAAGAGAGAAAGTGAAAGGACGGTAAATCACTGTGATCTGACTTCACTGTCATTATGCTGTAATGTAGGTCACGAGACTGACGATAAGACAACAGTTGTCGTTGTTTCTGTGACTTACTCAGAATAAGTGACACTTCATCAAGTTTAATTAGGCTTTGTGCTAAACTTTTCTCCAACGCATGGCAGATATACGATAACAGTCATGCATGTTTTTCATAATAGAATTTTTTATAATAGAATTCAAAGTTTGGGGTCAGTAAGCTTTTTTTTATGTTTAATGTAAATATTCCTGTTTTTACTGTACTTATGTACTTATATTTATTACTCAAATAAATTCAGCTCATGTATATTGAATAAAATATAATTTCTATAATAGAATTTTATATTTATATAATAGAATTAAAAGTTTGAGGTTTAATGTTTTTGAAAAAAGTCTCTTCTGCTCACCAAAGCTGCATTTATTTGATCATAAGTACAGTAAAAACAGTAATATTGTGAAATATTATTATAATTTAAAGTAACTGTTCTCTATGTGGATATCTGTTAAAATATAATTTATTCCTGTGATGCAAAGCTGAATTTCCAGCATCATTACTGCAGTCTTCAGTGTCACATGATCTTCAGAAATCATTCTAATATGCTGATTTGCTGCTCAAGAAACATTTCTGATTATTATCAATGTTGAAAACAGTTGTGCTGCTCAATATTTTTGTGGAAACTGATACATTTTATTTTTCGGGATCCTTTGACTTCCAAAAGAACATCATTTATTTGAAATATAAATCTTTTGTAACTTTTGTAACTGTCACTTGCTGAATAAAATCGTAAATTTCCTTCAAAATTAAATCTCATATGGGTTAAAAACAACATGAAGGTAAATAAATAACTGAATATTCATTATTGGGTGAACGACTCTTTAAAATGACTATTTTTTTACATAACGCTACTTCAATGCTTGACAATTATACATCCAATACTCGTTCTTTTTTAGTTTTCGTGTCTTTTATTACTCTAAAATGTGGTCTGTGCTAATAATGAAGACTGGCAGGCCGTGTATTCAGTGTGACGGTAAGATTTCTGCGTGTTTCTCATCCTCCCCCATCGTATGTTCTTCTCAGGCCGTTGTTGTTCTTGCTGGTCGGTTGGGCTTGAGGCCACGCTGGTCTGGTTTAATCTTCCTGCCATGCATTATATGCACATGTACATTAGCAGCACATCACAAAGAAAACGAATTAGCCATTCATCAGTAAACCTAGAGGAACCTTTGTGACATTTTGCTTTCCTTCGTGTGGCCTTAAGATCAAGTTTGCATCATCATTTTAAATGTTATCACAACCTTTCCACTTTACCTTTAAAAAGGGGAAGATGCACTGAATTCCCCTAAGATGCTTCTGTGTTTATCATGCTGTGAAACCAACTAAACCCCAACGTATTTATAGATCTGAAAATGGAAACACCCACGCACCGATTCTTCATTAGTGATTGATTAAAGCATCGTCACATGGTTTAAACAAGTATGCATATAGACTCAGAGCAACAAATGTCACATTTCACCTCAAAATCAAATGAAATTTATATTCTGCATTGAGAAAATAAAGCCTATATAACATATTATTGCACTATGACGTTATTTTCATGCCAGTTATGCACATGCATGTTCCATGTTCCATGCATGTTCTTATAAATGCATTCTAAGATAAGTCTGTAGAAATCTAGTGTGTTAATATGAAGCTGTTTTCTGTATTGATTTTTGCGCAGGTATTTTGAATTATGCAATTATTTTAGGGTTAAAATATGCAAACGTACTGTCCTGGCAAAACATTTCGGATTTATCTATACAGATCTTTTTTCTTACTGTGTGCATCTGAAGATTTGACTTGTTTTTTATTCTCAATGCAGACTTTTTCAATTATGTTATACTGTATTGCACAGAAAATACTTTAAACCCAGTACAAACAATATAACATTATTGTTTTTTGCAATACAGTAATGAGAACGATATTATTAAAATAATGTATTATTAAGAAGAATTATTGAGAAAATCATGTCACAATGCAAATAAATAAATAAATAAAACAAATATAATATTAATATTAATATAAATTCTTATTTGATTTTGGGGTGAAATAAGACCTGGACAATGCAAATAGAATAAAATATGAACATATTTTCTTTTCCTTTTTGGTTTTGTTTAAATAATTATTTTATTTAAAAATTTTTTTTTACATTTGCATACTATACAAACAATATATCATTATTGTTGTTGCAATATATATATATTTTTTTAAATTATGGCAAGAACACTTGGTGAGGAAATAATGTGACAATGCAAAACAAAGCAAAAAACTAATAAAAAAATAAATAGGCTTTAAAAATTCCTAAATATAATATAATATTAATATAAATGATTTGATTTTGGGGTGAAATAAGACCCAGACATGACAAACAGAATATGAAAAAATATATTTTTTACTGTATATATAAATCTCAACCATCACAACACATGAACTATGTTAAGATACTATTTAAAGATATTTTTAAAATATATCTGTAGGTTGTTTTTCACATTTTCCGTGTCTATGTCATGCTACAATCTAATGTCACAGAAAAGTCCCACTGTCTCCACTGCAGAAGTGTTTTGTGGCAGAGATTTAGCATGTTTTACTAGGACCGGCCTACTGTGGCTTAACCACATGCTGGACTTGACCATCTCCTTCCGCTCCCACTGGGGTTCATGTTTATGCTCTTCACAACTGCATACCGTCACATCAGCAGCGTGGGCTGAGCGGTCAACCATGCTACGCTATGTGGAATCGCTGCGATTTCATCATCATAGGAACATGCTCGCCACACTGTGACGTAAAAAATAATGGGTTCAGCTTCAGGTTCAGAGACGGAGGCTTTTCTGCTGATGTGACCTTGTATGGCATATAATCTCGTGAACCACAGAGAGGTGTGACGGCGCTGAGGAGCAGGTTGAGTCCTCAGGGCCTCAGACTGACCACACGACGCAAGAACAGCAAGTGAACGAGCAGATGAACTGAGTCAGACGCGTAGGCTTTCACTGAAAGAAATTCCCCTCAACTAATTAAACAGACGTCTGAGGCAAATAATGAAGAATCAGTGACATTTACAAATTTTTTTTTTTTTTTCTTACCAGAATGGCTGAGAGTACAAAACACGTGCTAAGACAGACTTTAAGTTCAATGCACATTATATTTTCTGTCATTTATGATTGTTTATTATCAATAAGAGCCATGTAAGGCCAGTTTGTGTGACTTTCAATGGTTTATATCCGACTGTATGATGACTTATGATGACTGTCTTGGCTGGGTGAAGAAGTTAATTTGTTGATTGCTTGATTTTGCAAACCCAAAGTAATTTTGAGAGTACAGATGTGAAGGGAATGCTAAATAATGAGATACTTGTGTTGCGAATCAAACACATTTGTCATCGGTTACTGTGCTGTTGGTAAGTTTGGGGTCAATTTTACTTTTTTTTTTTTTTTTGAAAGACATTTTTATTCAGCAAGGATGCATTAAATTGAATAAGAGTGACAGTAAAGACATGTACAATCATAGGCGGAGGGAGAACAAACTCCAGGGTAAAAAGGCTAAAAGCAGCCAAATGTATTAATAATTCCGCCACTGAATA